CTTTTCAGAAGGAAGGTCATGGCTACTCATGAAAGCTCGAACATTGATATTACTGGAGAAGTTCTACAATGCCTTACACCATCTTCATGGCTAAATGACGAGGTACTACTGGTTCTTCATAAGATTCTGCTCGATTAAGAGCTCTTAAATAATAAATTTTTCGTTTGATGTGTTCTTCTTCTGTATTGTAGGTTATCAATGTCTACCTTGAACTACTCAAAGAAAGAGAAACTAGAGAGCCCAAGAAGTACTTGAAGTGTCATTTCTTCAATACCTTTTTCTACAAAAAGGTTTGTTTTCTTTTCTGTGCTCACATGGTTATCAAGAACAGTGGATATTTTTTTGCTCGTGTCAGTTTGTTAGTTTAGCTGCTACTTGTTTCCAGAAAAACGATAAGCACTATGTTCAAGAGATTTGTTTGCTAAGATTATTAATTATTTTGCCACGTTTCTCCCCTGTGGTACTCTTTTGTCTCTGGCTTCTATATCCAATGAGCACCCAACACAAGCTGTGGCCTTTTATATGTTGATAAATACCTCGTGGACATATGTTTGATCTCTCTAACGTTTTTTCCAGCTCGTAAGCGACTCCGGTTATAATTATAATGCTGTCAGGAGATGGACTACGCAGAGAAAGTTAGGATATGCCCTTATTGACTGTGACATGGTAATTTTTTTTGAGGAACCTGGATTTTTAGATTCTCTTGGTTAGTTTTAGAAATGTAGTCCAATATATTTATGTTTGAACCAGTCTTTGCTCTCTGCAGATATTTGTTCCCATTCACAGGGGTGTGCATTGGACTTTGGCAGTTATTAACAACAGGGATCACAAGTTCCTGTATCTCGATTCACTAAACGGAGTTGATTCTAGGATCTTAAATGCTCTGGTATAATTTTATTCCAACTCTCATTCTCTTTATTTAAGCTCGTTATGATGTATTGGAGTCATTAAAAGAGATCAGAGGCTATGGTAGCTAACGCAGCAACTGATATGTGCTTCAGGCAAAATACTTGACCGACGAAGCTAAGGAAAAAAGTGGAAAAAACATTGATGTTACTTCGTGGGACATGGAATTTGTTGAAGACCTTCCCCAACAACAAAATGGGTACGTAACTATTCTTGAACTTGCTATGTTTATGATTATGTGAAAGGAACTATCTTGTTTGAAATCACTCCTTGTAGAATCAGCTAGCTGTATTCCAATGTGGAATATGGCTTAGTTAAAGTATAAATTTCGTTTGAGATTGGTAGAGAGAAAATTATTCTATATGAATTATGATTATGGGAGCAACAAGCATATCTAGTCATAGTTTTCTGCTGGGATCATTTTCTTGAAACACAATCTGAATGGCCGGAATCAATCAAAACACTATGTGGTTATGCTCTTAGCTCATTGTTTTAATCCTCTGCTAACTATTATCTTCTTCTTTTTTCTTTTGCAATTTATATATTGCCAGGTATGACTGTGGAATGTTTATGCTTAAGTACATCGACTTTTTCAGTAGAGGCCTGGGGCTATGTTTCAACCAGGTAAGCAATTAGAATCCAGATCTCCTAAAATGCTTCTTCAAGGAATTGTAGTTAAATGAAGAGTAAACTGGTTGTCTGGAAAATTTGTTATGGAATTAGTAAATCACTTAACGCTGTTAATAACATTTGCATGTTCTACGATTTGATACAAAAACTGTTTCCGTCTTGTGTTACTTTGGTGCAGGAACACATGCCATACTTCCGGCTAAGAACGGCTAAAGAGATTCTGAGACTACGAGCTAACTAAAGCTGCTTGGGCTGTGTTTATTTTTCGTAACCGAAGATATATATAGTAATGAAAACCTGATCTTCGTGGGACTGTATTTTACACGAGTTGTTCAGTCAAACCGGTACGACCGCAGTTAAGAGCAAAAATTAGAAGTTAAGCCGGTTCAATTTTTTTGTTCTTCTGTTAACCGTAGCCAGTTCCACAATCAACTATTATAAGTTTATAACAGATAACGTCTTTGAAAGCAAAGGTTTTCATTATAGAAACGATCTGCTCTATACATTGTACACAAATGATACAAATGTACAACGAATACAACTTTCAATTAGAGCTGCTTCAATTAGAGTTCCACATAACTGTTATTATGGCAGTATAACTTTCAATTCACATTTCATTATCAGAGTTGTAGAAACATCGAATACAAATGTTGACAAGGACACAGAAAATCAAAACCCACCCCTCACAAGAGAACAGGAAAAAACAAACACATTCCCCAATTCACAAAAAACACGAGGAAGGAAGATTTGTGTGTATTAGAATTAAAAGATCACCTGACTGAAACCGAAAATAACACTTCATTCCCTTATCTAGCGCGGAACTCGCTTCCGGCTAAGTATCTCTTGTTCTTTCAGACGGTGTTGGAACCGAGCAAGACGGGCTTGGAGGCTAACGAGACCAGCTGCTTTACGGGACAACACAAAGCTCAGTTGTGTAACGTAGTTGTCAATCATGCTCCCTGGCCGATCCACCTCCGCTAGTAATTTCATTTCCTGGTCAAAACCCAAAATAAATGTTGAAAACAAACTACAAAACATAAGCCAGCCAATATAACAAGCAGGGTCAATAATTTTTTAGTACCTCACGGACAATCTCCATTGTATCCTCGATTTCTTTTCTGTGCGCTGTAATTAAGGCCTCTTCCTCCTGCCAGAGTTTAAAACCAATATACAAAGTTAAACCGCTGTACAGGTTTCTAACGGTTGTTCGTGAGCAAAAATTCATTACATTCCCTCATTCAAGAAGCAGATGGGTTATTATTACCTCAAGCAATGCATCGATATTTTCGTCAAGAGAAGGCTCTGTTGTTTTTTCATATTGCCTTGAAGCAGCATCGCTTGTGTCCTGACTTGTGCTAACATTATGCTGTCTATAGTTTTTCGTGTCATGGATATCAGACGAACTGATGACCTCTCTTTTTGACAAGTATTGAGGTCTTTCTGGTTTATCCTCCCGGGAAACTTTCCTACGAGGCGGTGATACTTTCTTCACTTTTTCTTCTTGATCTGAAGTATCTTGAGAATAAGAAGAGGATGAGTGATTCCTTTGACTAGTGGAGCCGCCAAAAGTATTGCTCGTATCTGATCTTCCTTTGTCCATTGATATCGATGGTATTTCACTTTCCTCTCTAAAGTTGACCGGATATGAAGATGGGTAATGTGTAGGCTGCTTGAATTCAATACCCGAAGTAGAGTAGTTGTCTTTCTCTAACCTCCTCCCTGTCTCCTGTACATTATATTCCTGTGAAGACGGCTCAAAGATATCTTCTGCATCATTTGAAGCTAGTTGAGAAGAAGCCAAAGAAACATCCTTATTAGCTGGCGGCAACGAGTTGAAAGTTTGATCCTTCTTGCTATTTCCACTTTTAGATAGACTTTTAACCCTGTTTGATTTAATAAATTACAGACATGAGTAAAAGAATGTAATCGAGGGTTACTTTAGATTTGGAAACCATTTTTGGTCGTCTAAACATACCGGTCGGCGTATCTTAATGTATTGAGGGTATGTTCACATGATCCTTCGTTTGGAGAGATGCATGAAATCATCACCGTTCTTGAGTTTCCAACAAATGAGTCACGGAGCACTTCAGTTAGTTTGCTTCCACGGAATGGAATATGTAGCTGGTCATTGTCCAGCGCACGGATACATTCTTTGAGAGCTAAGAGACTCTTATTTATTTCTGCACCTTCAATCCTACATCATCAAAAAGAACAGTTTAGATCAAGAGTAGTTGTTCAGAAGAAAAGGTACAATTACTTTATCCATGGTTTTAAAACATAAGGTCTACATGGCTGGGGAAGTCAATACTCAAAACTCTTCTTCCACCAGAGGACAAAGATGACCTTACCTTGTTTGGCGGTCATTGTCTGTGGTGTCTGCACCTCTTTCACTGCCAGCAAGATCGATGAAAGAAATCTTCCCCACAACTTTCCCTCGTGATTCATTACTATCATTGTTATTTCGTCTAGTTTCTTTTACCTCCACATGCTTCTTGACAACAAGCTGCAATATAGCATGTGATCTAGAAGATTCCTCATTGGCGCCAGTTGATCCTGTGCTTCTTGAAGCATTCCCTTTGTCGATAAAATCCTTTACAATTTGAACATCCGAGACTTCATATTCTTGCAGGCCAACAATGCAAACTTGTTGTCTACCATCTTCTCGCATACATAGTTTCCTACTCAGCAACAACGGAATTAGTCAGCCAACTATACACATGCCTTTTTAATACAAGAAAACAGTCACGAAAGTATGGAGACTTAAAAATAAAAAAGAGTTTAAGTGCCTGACCAAGGTGTTGTCTAGTGGCATTTTTTCGGAAGCAAAAAGATAAACGCATAACACCAAATGTAACCTTTCAAAGACATATAAAGAGAAAAAGAAACACTAACTTTCTCTCGGAGAGAAGATCGTAAAGCTTTCCACCATATATCTCAAAATAACTGAGCCACAGCTTAAGCCTCTGATCACGATATACTGGTTGATTTAACATCCTCATAAGATCTTGAACAGCTCGTATAGGCAATGGTTTCATTGTAAATGTCTTACCGCTACCTAATTAAAAAAAAAAAAAAAATCATTATCAGAGCCACAAAAGCATGAAGATAATATTAGTGAGTAAAAAGTACCAATTATAAATAAATTGGCCTTATAGAAATTCCCAGGAAAAAAATGTACATTACGTACCTGTTTGACCATATGCAAAACAGGTGGCTTTCGTTCTCTGGAAAATGGTGGGAATAATTGGCTCTATAGTGACCCGATACACCTGATCAAAGGTTCAGCAAACAACTTCATAAATAGAGAATACATATACTCTAAAACGAAACTCAAACAAGAAAAAACGTGGATAATAAGGGTTGTTGCACTATAATTTGAAAATCACAAGGTTGTTTTCTTTTAAAACTAATCTATGTTATCTCGTATCTTGAAGTACAGTAAAACACTCCCGCAAAGATTGTCAGTAGATTTCAGTTTCTGAAGGCTATAAAATTACCTCGTCATTTGAAACATGCTCACCCAGAACAGCATCAAAGCAAAACTCATGCTTTTCCACATAAGCAGTCAAATCCACCTGCACCAACAAAGATTAAGTTTCATTCAATATCAGAGAAAGATATATAAAATGAAGAGGATCTATGACCTTTAATCTCGTTGAACTGAATCATGGATGTCATCGTTATCTTTAATGAAGCACACACACGAACCTTCAACTTGGTCTCATGAACAGTCAAAGAATTATCAGATACGGTCACGATATCATCCTCCTTTCTAGCAGTTTCCTTTTTATTTAGAGGTCTCTTCCTTACCTGAAACAAATATATGAAAATGTATAGTTCAACAATAATGACCATTGCTTGTAATTTCAACAGAGGAATAGAAAACCAGGTAGCAGATCAAAACAAATATCATACCACTACTTTAATTTTGGCTACACTGTTCTCTCTTCCACTACTTTCTTTTTCACTCCTGGGAAATGGGCTTGAAGGTTCAGCATCCTGCTCTTGTCGCTGTTGCCGATTAACTGGCACATTAAAGTCTTCTTCAAATGCTTGATTGACACTAGGCATGAAAGGTGATGGCTCAAAGGGTTCAGAAATCACATGCTGCAAGATGAATGTAATTTTAGTTTACACAAGCAATGAGTTGATAGCTATTACAATGAAATCATTGTGATTAAGCAGCAGCAAATGTAAGCAACACTCCACCCAAAAGAAAACTTTTTCAACAAACCACACCCAAATTGGGGCATTTTCAACTCCTTTTAATCGCACTACCTTCTCTCTACGCTAATGACTTGCTTGCACATAATAAATTGCAAAATCTATATGGTATTTTCACAACAGTAATGATTATTTGACAAACAAAGGTATATAGGTCTCAATATCAAAAGTAGTACAAAAGATGATTATAGGGGAGCTGACCAATACAATAGGTGTGCGTCAAATATAAGATTGTAACTGAATGCTGACAAAACAGTATTTGTAACCAAGATGGCGCTCAAAGATATTCTTGACCCTACTATCTGTGGACATTACGAGCAAATTAGGAAACTTCTTTGATCTAAATTCCCTTGCAAACATACCTCGGATAGCAGCTCCGTGTCATCCATTGCATGAAGATCTAGTAACCCAGCTCCAAAGTCACCTCTGAACTCGGGTGAATAAAATCCATCCGAAGAGGGCAAAGCGGCTGATGTTTGACCAGTGGGTGTATACGGCTCAGAAGCCGATTCCCCATTAAAGTTAAGATTTCTCATTAATTTGAAAAGTCTTTGCTTCTCTTCAGCAGTTTGTGCTCCATAACCCTAAGCAATAACACCGATATCATAAAAACATCAAACACCAGAAGGTGCCACACAAATTTCCAGAGCCAAAAAGTTGTCCAATCTCCAATAAAAAGAAAAAAATGACCAATTAACTGATCACATGTATAGAAAACCCAATGACTTGCAAGAGAAAATCTTAATGTACATGACTTCTAGACAGTCCTACTTCTGTAGCAGAAAAATGTACCCAAAACTTGTCTGTCTGAGATATATGCTCTACAATCATAATAAACTAAGAATTGGGCTTTAAGCAAACACTACCAAATGTAGGGAGCAGACACATACAAAACATGCAAGCTCACGCAAGAGTCTGAAAGGAAGAAGTTAGTACCTGCATGAGAAGGTTTGGGAGTTGACGCTGATCAATGCCTGTGGAAGCAACTGGAGACGCCAGATGCTGCAAACCAGCAGACTGGAGCCACCGTGCCATGACGGCATCGCCTGCCTCATTGATTGGTCCTGCATTTTGCAGAGCCGCACCATCGTACAGCGCCGTCGCAGCCGCAGCATTAGTCTGCTGCATCTGGCCGCCCATGAGGCGCTGTGATCTTCGTTGAGGAGCCAACTTGGGAGATCTGTAGAACAACTCTTCATCCAAAAAAAAAACAGAGTAAAAATCATCACCCAAGAGGTTTCCGTATTAGGAAAATGAACAATTAGATGATTGCTCCGATTACAGAGTTTAAGATGTGATCAA